TCCCCCCTTGGCAACCACAAGTTTGTGTTCTATGTCTATGAGCCTGCTTCTTTTGTATTTATGTTTGATTATGACTGGATTTTAGACTATGATTTCAGAAATGCATGTGGAATTAGCTGTTGATTGGATTTAGGGTTTTTTTTTAAAATTGTGGTTAAAATACACATAACATAAAACTTGCCACCTTAATCTTTTTTCAGTGCACAGTTCAGTAGTGTGACGTACATTCACTTTGTTGTACATTTATACATCCACCACCACTATCCATCTCCAGAATGTTTCTCATCTTCTCAAATGGAAACTTTGTACCCATCAAGCAATAACTCCCCATTCCCCCTAGCCCCTGGCATTCTACTTTCTGTTTCTATGAGATACTTTCTGTTTCTACGAGATAGTTCATGTTAAGTGGAAGCATGTAGCATTTGTCTTTTTGTGGCTGGGTTATTTCACTGAGCATAATGTCTTCAAGGTTCATCCATGTTTTAGCATGGGTCAAAATTTCTTTCCTTTTTGAGGCTGAATTATATTCCATTGTATGGATTATACCACATTTTGTTTATTCATTCATCCATGGATGGACACTTGAGTTGCTTCCACCTTTTGGCTGTTGTGAATAATGCTGCTATGAATGCGAGTGTGCAGATACCCCTGCTCTCAGTTTTTTTGGATACATACCCAGCAGTGGGATTGCTGGATCATGTGATAATTCTATTTTTAGCTTTAAAAGAACTTCCATACTGTTTTCTATAGGGGCTGCACCATTTTACATTCCCACCAGCAATACACAGGGGTTCTAATCTCTGCTGGAATTCTTTTTTTTTTTTTTAATATAGGTGTCTTTAAACTGCAAGTAGTCCCAATGTTTGTTTAGTAGTGTAGATTTCCCTTCCCCTAAATAAAACACGCCCCTAAACATTTGTATTTCAAAGGACTCTTTACTGGTTTTAAAGATTTAAAATGTTAGAGGCCAAAAAGCGCCTCCTTGGAGACAATTCACTTCATTTATTCATTAGGCAGATATTTGCAATTGTAATTGATGGGTGAACAGAGCAGAAGAGATCTCCCAAGTCTCGAGTCTCGGGTTTACCTGCTGGTAGAAGCTTGTGTTCATGCCCATCTGGGTGAAGTGATTGCTAGGAGTTCCTTGGGGACTTGGTGGGGAAGCTGGGGATGGGAGTTGAGGTCTTGTGACTTCCTGGAACAGGGCTCTCACTGGTCTGTCATGCTCGCATTTAGGTGCACATTTTGGGAGGTTCGCCCCTGTTTGGGAAAGTGAGACACACTCCTGGTGGAAATATCTGTGCCCTGTAGCACCATGTGGATTTACCCCCGGAATCCAAGGGCCCTGAGAGACTGTCCACACCCACAGGTGGAGGCGCAGGTCCTGCAGGGTGACTGGGGGACACTGGAGAGGGACAGGACCCAGGAAGGGCGCCCCCTGTCAGGTCCTGAGGCTCAGCTTGGCCCCATCTGGCTGCTGCCCTGCAGTTCAGAGGGTGGCGAGTCCCTGGGCATTGGGGAGGGCCTTTTCAACCGTGGTGACCTTGCAGAAATGGGTGCCAATCACCAGTGCCAAGGAACTTTGGCACTTAAGGGCCCGGCCCCGGACTTCAGCCCCAGTCAAAGGTCTCTAGCACTGCGCTGGGCTCTGAGCGAACTTCCTGTAGCACTCTCATCTTGGACCCTTTGCACCGGTGTAAACTGACACCAGTGATTCCCCTCCCACCTCTCTAGCCGTCCAAGGTCCTTTGTTACATAATCCGGATTAATGGCAGCAGCCAGGCCCATCTTTAGCAGTGGGGAGCGAAGAAGGGTGATTGTGGAAGTGGGGTGGTAGGAGGGACGGAGCCCCTTGGAGGCTGTTGTTTTTGCAAGTCCCCTCACTTTTCTGGGCCTGCTTCTCTTCTGTTAGGAGGAACAGTGAACTGCAGGGCCGTGGGGGCCGTCCTGATGGTGACTCAGGCCGTCTAGTCTAAATAGGCAGCGACTGGGGGAGGCTTGCTCCCGAGCCGGGGCGGGCCCTGGAGGCATCATCCTGAAGGGAGTGAGACTCTTAGGAGGGAATTAGAGGCAAAATGACATCTGCCTAGAAATTTGCTATTTATCAAAAAAAAAAGCATAAATAGAAGCACCAGACCCCGGGCAGAGGGCTCTTCACTATTTCCTTTAATCCTCACAGAGACCAGGAGGTGAGTGCCCTGTTTACAAATAAGGAGACAGGCCGGGAGAGATGGAGAAACCTGTGCAAGGTGCAAAGGTGCGAGGAGGAAGGAGCAGGCGGGGGGCCCAGAGCCTGCCCTGCGGGCCGGGGTGGGTTTGGACTCCAGTGGAAACTGGCTGCCTCCCATCTGGCGAGCCTCCTTCTGGTCAGAGGGGTTGGGGTGGGGGCTCCATTCCTGTCCCTTCCTTGTGAGGTGGTTAAGAACTGTGGCCTGGAGTCCCTAGTGCCCCGAGGCTGGTGGCTTCCTTTTGGGACCCTGGGGTCCTATTCTGTAGTCTGATGATTCAGTTCAAACCTGTAATGAGGTCCTTCCGTGCCAAACACCTACTCATGAGCGAGCCGGAAAAAATACCCATGCGTTCTCGGCAGGATTCAGCTGGTTTTGGTGGTAGCTCTTAATGATGTTTCAAAGCCGTGTGCATTAACACGGGTGGTGGTCCAGGAGGTGCTCTTGCTGGGGCCCTTCTAACAAAATTCCAGGGATGCTAATTCTACTGAGCACCTCCTATCCTGCACTTGACCTGCTTACGTTTTCTCATTTATTCACTGCAGGAAGCATGTGAGGGCAGGGAACAGCAGTGCAGAGAATTTTAGTAACTTCCCCAACTGTGCACAGCTCAAAAAGGAGATCGTTGAGGATGGGGACGTCTTTGTGTCCCTAGGTCCTAATAATGGCGTCTGGCATGGAGTCGGAGCTGAGAATGTGATGGCTGAGTGAAGGGATGAACGTCAAACCTCAGGGACTGTCTGAGCATCGGGTTGGGGGTTGATTGAATGAGGTTTATTTGAGATTCCGTGATGGGGATTCTCAGCAAAATGCGGTTGAAGGATGGGGAGATGGGTGGGGTCTGGGCATTGGAGCGCTGGCCGGTCCTGGTGCAGTGGTGACCAGCTCTGGGAGCTTGGGCAAGTCACGCAGCTGTTTCCCCAGCAGCCGAGGAGAATTGAGGGTGAGCTGGGTGGGTGGCAGAACTCTGAAAGCAAACAGAAGCCCAGAGGGAGCCCCCCACCATGCAAAACGGGTGGTGGGGGAGCCCCCGGGGCTGAAGGAGGGAGCGGGGGCTTTGGACTCTGCCTCTCCTGCACGCACCCCTGTGCTTCCGTGGCGCTTCCACAGGGACCCGTGTATTAAACGTTCTCATCAGTGTGGCCCTGTGATGCTTCAGCGAGTTTGCCTATATGCCAGGAACAGAAGCACTCTGGAGAATCAGGTATTTCTCCCGCTCTGCCTCTGACATCTTGGCCTTACTTGTAGGTGGGGTGGTTTTAAGCCAATGACATAGACAAGGTGGCTGAGTCAGGGGAGGCCAAGCGAGTTAAATTCTTTCTCGCAGCCGGGCCGTTGGAGCAATCAGTCTTAGCCTTTGAATGTGGTTGGAGTGCCAGGCTTCCGTCAGTCACGGTGCCCTTCCTGCCCACAACCTGGGTGGGCGAATGGTTCAAAGGCTTTTTGAGGAGAGAGATGGGTTTGTATTGAACCAGCAATTCTTAGCCAGTTCTGTTCGAGACCAGCGGCCAGGCTGATGGTCAGGGTTGGGAACCAGTGATGCTGTGTGATCTCCAGGGGTCGGGGCTCTGACTGCCTGTAAGTATCGGGCTAGGCACAGACCCCCGACACCCCTCCCGCACCCCGACCCCCTGCCCAGGAGC